AAAAAAAAACAATTACTTTAAAATTACAAACAGACACTTCAATTTAATTTTATAAATAAATACTTTTTAGTGTGAGACTAGTAACATAGACATAAAATAGTTAACTAGAGTGATAAAGTATACAATGGGTTTTATACTTAAAAGCAATCTATGGACAGGCCTATTGATCTGGTAGTTAGTGATTCTGAATGCCAAACCAGGTAGTGGGTTCGATTCCCACCCGGACAAGTAATTGTGGGATGAGCACGATTATTTTTCTGTGTCTAAGTGTAATTTATCTATACAATTTCATAAAATTGAAGTTTCAGTTTGTAATGTCAAAATAATAGGTTTTTTTCATGCTCACACGGTTATTTGCACGATGCCTGTGCCTAAAACCCAGTTTAAATAATTTTCAAAACGGCTGGACCAATTTCAATAAGATTTTACTACTAGGTAGCTGTCTATATAAGGAGCTACTTAGGTTATTTTTCCTCTCAGAAAAAACCTTTAAAATTTTACCACGCCAATAAGGTAGCACTTTTCAAATTCCAAGCGAACGAAGTCGCGGGTACCAGCTAGTCTATAATATGTATGTATATAAAAGTCTAGTTAACAGGCTCTGTCTGGTTTGGGATCAGACGTGTAAAATAAGTAACGAACTAACCAATAAATATCTAACTCCAACTAAACTACTATATGAAAAAACTAAATTATTCAATCTCAGACAACTGTACGTCTGTCATACTTGCATTCTTATTAAAAAGATTACTAACAATTCCATTCAAACTAACATACAATTACACAAAAAACCAATCCCTCATAATTTAAGAAATATAAATAAATTACAACTAACGAAAGTACGAACTAGCTACGGAAAAAAAACAATACTATATGAGGGGGTACAGCTGTATAATAGACTGCCAAAAGAATTAAAGGATTGTAATAATATAAATGAATTTAAAAGCGGGCTTAAGAAACATGCTGTACATTGTACATTGTAGCATCCAATATGCTAAGAGATGAATATTGTATTAATCATAAGTTAATTTCTATGTATCTCATTGTGAGTAACTAACTGTAAGTTCTTATGAGAATAAAAAATTCTTTGAACCAAATAAATAACAGTTGTTAAACTGAATAAACAATATATTAAAAAACATTGCAAAGAAAAGCTAGTAAAAGTAAATTACTGACAGAATGAAACGATGAAACTGCAAGACGCTAATAACACTGTATTAAATCATAAAAGAGAGAGATGAGAGAGAAAATTTGTGAAATCTAGACGCAAAACACAGATCATTAGATTACCACTGAAGCAGATACATAATTTATAAATTTATACTTGCATTTTCCAATTACAAACTAGCTTATAACATGATTATAATAAAACGAAATCTTTAAATTAAAAATAAGGTATTAACTTAATAAGTTGGGTCCAAAATTTGACGGACAATCTCTAGTAAATTTAAACTGTTGACCATTTTAAATTGGACCAATTTATGTTGCTCAAAATTACAAATAAACAGTTTAATATAAAGCAAGATTCTTTCCAGTCTATAATTCTTCTTCTTCTCTGCACCAATATCTTGATGGTGTAATTTCATTTCAAACGACACAACTCTTTGAGTAACAGACAATTATCCATACGTTCTTTTTTATCCGATACAGGGAATACTATATTTCCGTGTGGCGACGGATTAAGAATAGGGAGTGTCACAACCCCTTTTCATCTCGTGGGTGTCGTAAGAGCCGACTGAGGGAGCAAACTACGTAGGACACCAGCACTGCAAAGAGAAAGAAAACTTGAAACAAACCCTATACCAACCCGTCTGGCCAGCGTGGTATAGTAGGCCAAAACCTCCTTGCTATGTTTAGCAGTAGACCATTAATGATTGTTGATGATGATGACACGGGGCAAACGAGCAGACGGGTCACCTGATGGAAAATGATTACCGCTATCCATGAACTCAACATGAAGCATCTCAAACTCTCAAGCGCGGTGCTGACTTACTATGATTACAATGTTTATAATTTGACATACAGACAAAATTTTATTTTCTTATACTAATTGGAGAAGGCCTTGAGGTTATAATTTTATCGTAACTTATTATATTATAAACATAAATAAAATTCCGCACAAGGTAAGCACATACTGCACGGATGGCGTAGTGGTTTAAGCGGTCACCTCGCAGCTTCCTACTGCGCTGAGTACAACACTCGATTCCCACATGGGACGACACTTTGTGTGATCCACAAATTGTTGTTCTGAATCGGACTGTTGTGATGAAACGGACACAAAGAACACCCTCTTTGTGTCCGTTTCATGTATGTTTGTAAAGTCCCTCGCTATACAGGATTTATTCCTAGTTGTTAAAAAAAAGATGAAGAAGAAAAAATACACTGTAACTTGTCAGTAAAGACCAGACAAAAACTCACTGAACTATTTATATCAGCCTTTTTGATCAACAATTTTGCCTCTTTATTTAAAGATAACATAGAAAGCAGCATAGGTATGTATACCCATGTATTCAGCATAGGTATATATACAGCAGTTATCTGGTTTCCAACATACTTTAAGACTTTATCTATTCTTCGGCATTCTTGGTCCAATAACTTGTAAAATTTCGTTTCCAAAGACAAACCGTACTGCTAAGATATACAATAAACAAAAACAATGATAAATTATGAATCTATTAATTGTAGTGAAAGTTACAGTAGTGCGCTGATCAGATCGAAACAGTATTTCACTTCGGCCATGCGCCTACGGCTTTTTAAAGCGCATGTTCGGCCTCATATGAAATACTGCTCTAATATCTGTGCAGGGGTGCAGTACCAGTTTTTCCCCCTTTATTTCCCCTTTATTAAAATATATATATATTTTTATAAAAACTGGGGTATAAAAAGTGATGAATATTATTATTATTATCTAAAAAATAGGTGACTTCTCACTCGTCTCAATCTCCGCCTCAAGAGCTATATTTCAGAATCTCGAATTAGAACAGATATTTAATATCTAGTGGCAGCTTTTGCAACTCGTTGTCAGTGGTACATTTATTGACTGATCTTTGCATATTCAGAATCGTAATGATAATGAACCGAAATGTATCTAATACATATCTTGATTTATAAAAAGAACTTCAGGGACCGATCAAATCAAACGCTTTATTACAAGAAGAACCGATAAAAAGAGCTAGGTACGGATAAATCCTGTGCAGATAAATCCCATGGTGTTAAAAGTATCAAGCCTTTTTCTGAACGCTTTTATCTTCTAAAGATAAGGTTGGGGTGTTGGGCCGCGGTTTGTGTTAATGGATTTCTCTAGTCAGAGGCAAGCCCGAGGGCCATTCTCTCACTATGAGTGGACTTTAAAATAGCGGTGAGGATAAGCTGATAATCTGAGAAGGGGGAGGCAGGAAATTTAATACGTCCAGTACGTAGTTCGTTCTTGATTCCAATTAAACAGCTATTGTCATGATTATAAGATAAATGGTTAAATAAATCGAAACAAGTAATAATCAAGTTTAAAGTCGAATAGTTAAAATTTAAGTATAAACTTTGACTTAAAAACTATCCATCGTATTTAAATGTTTTTGTTTTTTCTATGAACGGGCGAATTCTTGAGAAAGGTTCTGTTAAATATTATAGTACTATTACAGTATTCAATTTTACGACTATCAGGAGAGTAGTTGTCCCTGTAAACACAGTTAGAAGCGACTAGTTAGCTAATAGGGCTACAGACCCAAGAACACTGGATATTATTAGGAGAAAATCAAGTTTGTGAATTATTTATTTAATATCCGAAAATTTTACAACGAAAACTGTGCAATTCTTATGGCGTAAGAAAGAGAAAAAAATATAAACAACAATAACACATAAATGTTAAATCCTCCTAAAGTAAAATAAATTGATAAGCAACTTTAGAATTTTCATATTATTAAAATTTAAGATTCGTTTTCTACTTTGACTATGGTTGAAATTTTACAGTGTATAATAAAACTAATCATATGAATCAGTAACCAACTTTCTGATCCATTTATTCCATCCGCTTGGCTCGTAGCCCAACCTGTGGTGCACCTTGTGTTTTATTCACAAAGGCTTATCTGCATGTTGTACTGCCGAGATTCAGTTTAGTCGTGGTATCTGTGGAATTTGAACGGACTCGTATTTTACTTTATCTTCCAACCGCTAGTTGAAAGTTATTACTATTTTGTTCCGAGCTTTGGATAGACTGTTATTTCGTTAATCCTTTTAAGAGAAGTTTAAGCATGGACTTATTTTATTCAACGTTATGTCGCTTTGAAAACTTTCATGTAGAATTCTTCTTTTGTTCGAGATGTATTGTTTTATTAATTTAATGTTTTTTATTTGTAGAATGAGTAAATGTTTTTAGAGAAGCTTTTAAAAAATGAACAAGTTTTTATCTATATTAGTATCTTAATCATCACCTTCCTGCTTTCTTCCCTACTTTTGTCGACAAGTAATTTATGACCGTTTTTATACTTACTTACGTAATATGGGATAAGTCTATTGCCGCCACATGGGAATCGAATAGGAAATTTGCGAGAATTCCTCTTTTGTAAAAGACAACTCCCGCAGTATGCATATTTCTTGATATTTCCTTGTTGTCACTATAAATGCAATACCACAATTATATTCTGCAGATTTTAATTAAAATTCTTACTTTACATAGAGACTAATATTAATCTTTTGACACTCTTCTAACTCGTCAAGATTGACGGGCCTGTTGGTCTAGTGGTTAGTGGTCCTGACTGATGAGCCGGAGGTCGTGAGTTCGATTCCCACCCAGGACAAATACTGTGTAATGAGCACGGTCATTTGTTCTGTGTCTGGGTGTAATTTATCTATAACATGTATGTATTTAAAAATATATAAGTATGTTTATCGGTAGTCTGGTTACCATAGTACAGGTTCTGCCTAGTTTGGGATCAGACGGCCCAGTGTGAGATGTGTGAAGTTATTATTCTTACATTATTTTTTATTAAAATTTTCTTCCACAGCCATATCTTTTTGTAATGGGGCTCGCGACGCTACCTGTCCCAGGATCTGCGGGCCATCTCTTCAGAGCGATCCCGTTTGTGCCACCGATGGTTACATATATCCTTCGCTTTGTGAAATGAGGAAGAAGACTTGTGGGAAAGGTATGTAAATGGTGTCTCCAAACTGGTTTGATTTTTACCGAATATATTTGTAATTATTTGAATATTTGCTGACTTGTTCATGTTTGGGTTTCTAATCTACAATTTCTCTGTTTTAAAATCAACTTTGTTTCAAATAATATTTGTCTGAGTATTATTATCATATAAAAATCCTGTCGAGGTGATTGAAGAAGAATAAATGATGCACATATTATTGAACATTATCTCATGTTGATTGTAACTGAAGAAGTAAAATGAATTGAACAAACGCGGACTTAATTTAGTACACCTTATCACATAAGTCTAAGTTAAAAGGTTTCTCAGTCGTGAATCTAGTCTTAAAACTTAAGTAGAGATCTCTTTTAAGTAGAGATTTTATTATTGAACGTCACTTAAAGCGTGATTAACTGATCCAAACTCAAGTTATCTTGAATAATGGTTTTTCTGTGGATGAAAATAACTTTCAATTCATTTTTACCAAAAGTTTTCTAAATTCTTTCACTAAAATGCACGCGAGTCATTAAAAAAAATCAACGAACTTCAATTACATACCTCATGTGTGGAATCATACCGGCCAAAGTTGGACAATTATTAAGACATTTCAATTAAAAAACTGGTTTCTTATTTAAATATTCTAGGTGTTAGACTAGCTCCAGATCAGACAGCCTGTTCTCGTGCTCAAGGTTCTAAATGCGATCACAGATGCACTTCAGAGAAGGATCCTGTCTGCGGTACAAATGGAAGGACTTACCTAAATAGATGCATGCTGCAGGTGGAAATTTGTAGGTAAGGTTTAAACAAATTTAATTGACATTAATTGTAATTTCATATGGCACAAAATGTCGCCTGCGATACTTTTAGACAGATTCGACCTTCAAGAAAAGACCATACTCTCTTGAATTGTGTCCGTGGGAGGCGAATATTACTTCCTTGAGACCCATCTAATTTTTTGGCTCCTATGTGATAAAAAATAACATTCGGTAGTTCATTTAATTGATGATTACAAAAAATAGTGATTCTGTTAATGCAATAGGAAAAATTGATAACTTGGATCGAACATAAATTTGCATCTATATGGAAAAAGTACGAAATTTTTGTGATTATTAATATCGAGAAAGTTCTGCCAGAATTATGGTGACGGAAGATACTCGTATGTTTGAATATTCAAGATTTTATGAATTTAAATAGATTTAGATTTCTGAAACAGAAAAAGAGTGACAGTGAAAAGTGATGCATTATCCAATCGTCGATCGATAATAATAGCATGCTGAACTCTTATATTCTACTTATCATTTTTGTTGTAAACTAGAACTTCACCTAAATAATTTATTTTATCTGACACATTTCCAGAGTTGGCATTGGATTATCTCACTTGGGAGCATGTAACAACATCAGCGCTCATCGTGAGAATTGCCCCGTGGATTGCTCTCAGGCGCCTTTGGATGGACCAATTTGTGGATCTGATGGAAACGTTTACAAAAATACTTGTCAGATGAAATTATTGACTTGCGGGTAAGTGTTTAGGAATTTTCAGAAAGAAACCAATTTTCAAATCATCTCTCAAACATCGGTATAAATAGGATAATCTTAATAGTTTAGGTTTAAGCTGAAGTTACTACTATACCCTATTATAATATTTCACTAGACAAGGTGTGGTGCGAACGAACAAGAAACACTGTCAGACTACCAGACACTGCCGTGAATCTTGCTGGCGTGTAGCTAGACCGACTTGTGGATCTGATGGAAAGCTGTATGCCAACGCTTGCAGGATGAAGGCTAGCAACTGCGGGTATGTGTAACATTGCCTTTTCCCCAATGACAGAAAAAAATAATTGAAAATTGTTTAAATGTATTTATAAAAACGATAGAAGTTTACAATAACTAGAGCTAGTCGTGAGGATGCAATTTGATGGGTTTGGAAAAAAGAAGAAATAAAAGATTAGTTATTGTCAATTTTACCGTAAAATTTGCGGTGATTATCTGTTTTACCTGTAACAGAGTCTTCACAGAGCTTTGTTGTAAAGTGGTTGAAACTCGTGTTAAAACCCCTGTAAGAGAATATGATAGTATTGGACTAAAAAAAAATTATCTAGTTTCTTCTTCTTCGTTGTCGACTTCATTAAGGAAACTAATGAAGTTATCTAAGTCTTGTAATTTATTTCTATTTTAAAACTAAGTTCTCTATTTAAATTTTTTAATGAAATCTGTAATTTCAAAAGACGATGCTTGTGCAGAGTTAAATTTTTCCACTTATCGACTATGGTGATGTGTGTTATCTCGACTTGAATGCAGATCTGTTCAATAAATTAGACCGACTTCTCAACAATTGTATTCGATTCATTTTCAACCTGCGAAAATACGATCACATATCCGCTTGCCGTACGCAACTGTCATGGTTACCTATAAGACAGCGCCGCAGTTCAAGAGCTCTGACTGTGTTACACTCTCTTCTCCACTCATCTAACTCACCTACCTACTTGAAATCCCACTTTCAATATCTCTGCTCTAATCATGACAGAACTCTTCGCTCTTCTAAAAATCTTCTCCTTCATTGTCCTTCACATAATTCCAGTATGGTCCATTCTTCCTTCCCTGTTCAAGCTGTAACTCTTTGGAACACACTCCCACTAGAAATCAGGATGTCCACTAACCGATACACTTTTAAGCTTAAAGTAGGGAAGCTCTATAGAGACTTGTTTACGGAGTCATCAGAATAACACCCTAAGAGTATATTTATTTTCATATATATTATAATATATTACTCGTATATATTTTTGTCGTTTATTATGATATTTATATGTATAAACTATATGTATGTATATCTAGTACTTATATATCTGTAGGATTTGTTCTTTTCTGCCATTGTAACATGGCTTCATTGCCAGATGAGAGTCATCTTTACCTGTCCCAAATATACACCTGCAACACACAGCTTTGCAACACCCAAAGGTTTGACTGGAAGAAAATGCCTGAGGCATTAAGTCCGCCTTATGCAATATGTTTGCAGGAAGACTCAATACATAATTTATCTTTTTCAGTAAACACGTATTCGAAGTGCCAATGTCTTTTTGTGTTTCACAAGAACGTACATCAGGTGGGGAGGCGTGTCCTAAAGATTGTTTAGGACAGAAAGATAAGCTGGTGTGTGGCTCTGATGAAATGGTCTATAGAAATGAGTGTGAGATGAAAATGCTAAATTGTGGGTAAGTATACAGAATGTAAATTAAAGGATTTAATTATAGAAATTGACCTTAATATTGATTACATTATTACATTTTTACGTGATATATAAGTAAAATGTACAATGTATGTTTTTTTTTTATTTTGGTGTTTCAAAAAATGGGTCGAAAATAAAAGTCGTACCTTATTTTTGACCGATTTATACCGCAGACACTTTCGCAAGACATAAATTGTTTTTTTATTAGTTATGGTCCCAAGACACTACTGAAAAATAATTACTGTATCTATAGGGGAATTCGGGACCCACGGGGGGGGGGGGTCGTCTACTCGTCTGTAGATGACCCGAGGTATGTCGGGGCACCAGGGACTTCCTTTCTAGGGTATACCTGGTTCCCCGGCTATTAGTACCCGAGACGGCGTGCGGTTTTAGTCGGTTCGAGTCCGACATGCCACCGACAGGTGGTATCCGACGGGATTTCCGCACGGAAAAAAAAAAAAAAAAAAAAAGAAGAGGGGAATTCGGGACCGCGGTCTCGGGAAAAACAATAATGCAATTTCTATTTCCATATTGCAAGTTCGTTAATAATATTATAAATTAAAAATTGCCAATCCTGTCGAGGCGATTGCAGCAGAATAAGTGATGCGCATATTATTAACCGCTATCTCATCTTGATGGTAACTAAAAATATAAAATGAATTGAACAAAAGGTTAATTCCGTACGCTTTTTCAAATACATCCCTGACATTCCATATTGCAAGTAACTGTTTAGCTCATACGACTAAATTAGTAAATAATTATATTAATTGTTAATATAAATCTGGCTGAATAATAAAACAACGTTCCTGTATTATTTGTACAGGAGTGTAAGTAACCGCAAGATCGTGAAGAAGGTGGACATGGAGAAGTGTCGTGGGAAGATGAACCGATGCATGAAAGTCAAGTGTCCAACAGAATTTGATCCCGTTTGCGGTACCGATCAGAAGGTCTACAATAATCCTTGCCTTTTAAAGGTTGCTACTTGCCTGTAAGTATAATTCTACTAATTCTACTGTTCGATTGCACGGACGGTGTAGTGGTTTAAACGGTAATCTTGCCTCCACGCCGCTCACTACTTCGCTGAGTGTTGTGGGTTCGATATAAACATGGAACAACACTTTGTGTAATCCATAAATTGTTGTTCTGAGTCTGGTTCTTTGTGCACATTCAATGGATGTTTATGAAGTCCTAGGATGTGTTCCTAGTGCGGGCGTTGACTAAAAAAAAAGCTGTTCATGAACTGACTGCTAAGCCAGAGGTCGTGGATTCGATTCTCACTTAAAAACAATAATTATCAATAGCACTATCATTTGGTAATTTACCGATCGAACAAACTATGGAGATTAAAATGACACTGGTATGAAAGGTGCCAGAGAAAACGCTTTTGGACACTTTCGAGACGTTTAATATGTACCTCATAGTGTGGGGACTAGAACTGAGCACAATATTCCAGATCAGATCGAACCAAGGCCGAAAAAAGATTAATCTTAGCATGTGGCCTTTTAAAATCTTTAGAGTTCCTTATAACAAAGCCAAATATCTTAAATGTGATTCATAACTAACTTAATCGACCAAAACACGTAACTTTTCAGGAAAGGTATACAATTGGCTCACTTCGGTAACTGCACATTATTGCCAAGATTCAAAGAAGACTGTCCTGATACATGCGAGAACGTTGTGGAGCAACCTGTTTGTGGATCTGATGGCAACGTTTATAAGTAAGTACTTCAGTTTATAGCTTGATAGTTATGTGATTCTTTTGGAATATTGCCAAAAAGCCATGGAGTTCGTCGTTCGATCGTGAAGTGTGTTGTCGCGTTAGTGTCAAGTGCGACACTAGGAATATTTAATAGATAACAGAAATTTACAAGAATATTGATTGTAATAAATATGAAAATTTACCACTTATGTCTCTATAACTTTACTGTACATAACATATTCATTCATTATAATTATTGCTTTCATCTTTTACCTATAACAGAAAGTAGCAAATTAGCTGACCCACGCGACTTAGCCTGCGTCTTTCAAAAGGAATAAATTTTCGGCGTTTTTGCAATAATTTTCATTGTTGCTCCGCTCCTATTAGTGGTAGCGTGATGTTATATACCCTATATCCTTCCCCGACAAATGGGTTATCCTAAACTAAAATAATTTCTCAATTCGATCTAATAGTTTCTGAAATTAGCGCCTTCAATCAAACAAACAAATCCTTCAGCTTTATAATGAGTATAAAAAACTTTAATAATATTTTCAGATCTGATTGTGACCTCCGTCTGGCGACGTGTGGCCAACACGTGGTGCCTGTTGCAGCTGCCCACTGTCGGACCACCGCGCTCTGCCACGAGGACTGTCCTGATACTCCTGCCTTTGTTTGTGGTTCTGACAATAGATTCTACAAGAATGAGTGCATTATGAAGAAAGAAAATTGCGGGTAATTTATTTTATAATAATAATCAATAATTAAATTTTCGTGTGGTATTTTCGTTAATAATACGGAGTGTGGCCACCCCTATTCATACCGTTGGTGTCGAAAGAGCCGACTAAGGGAGCAAACTGCGCAGGATTGCAAAGAGAAGGAAAACTTGAAACAAACCCTACCTACCAACGGGTCTGGCCAGCGTGGTATAGTAGGCCAAAACCTCCTTTCTAAGGAGGCCTATGTCCAGCAGTGGACTATTAAAGGCTGTTGATGTGATGTGAAATTTTATGAATAGAAGTCGGCAGAAAAATGAACAAAGGATGACTAGTCTTATGTGAATTTAATCGTAGCGCTTGCGAGTCCTTTATTAGATTTAAATTGTCGAGCTGCTGAGTACTTATATTTGTCTAAATCCCATTCTTACAAGAAAGTGTTTCACTCCTGGGTATTTTAGATGACGGGCCTGTTGGTCTTATGGTTAGTGCCCCTGAGTGCTAGGCCGCTCGTGAGTTTTATTCAAACCCAGAACAAATATTGTGATGGACACGATCATTTGTTGTGTCTGGTTGTAATTTATCTATAATATGTATGTATTTAGAAATATATAAGCATGTTTATCAATAGTCTCATTGCAGGCTCTGCCTAGTTTGGGATCAGACTGTCGAATGTGAGATGTGTTTTCTCCGAGACTTTTTTCCAACCTAGATCGAGGTCGACTTTAAACTACCATGATACGGCTAAACTTTGACTTTTTACGTGGACCGACTGCCATCAGACTTTCACAGCCCAAGTACTAGTTGATATTGAAGTTCTGTAGGCTGTTGTTGGACTTCCCAGGGATCCAACTACTATAATGATTGCCAAAGATGTTCGTATGGCAACCGGGACCGACGGCTCAACGTGCTCTCCGAGGCACGGAGGGGTCTCAATGTATTAAAAATGTTCACCGATCCATAGACTGACCTGACAAGGATTGCTTAACTTTGCAATGTGTTTACCACTTAGTCAAGCTGCATTTTGTTCACAGCAAGCACGTGTTTGTGGTCCCGTTGAAGAGATGTTTGTCGCGCTTCCAGTACTCGGGCTGCGCCCGCGTGTGTCCTCCGGAGTATGACCCAGTGTGCGGCACAGACGACAAGACTTATTCGAATAAGTGTTTCTTGGAGATGGAGAATTGTAGGTCAAGGTGAGTTGTCTGGGCTTTATAATGTATAATATATATATATATAATGTTAAGTCGAATTGTGTAAGCTTCGAAAACTCAAAAGGTTCTGCACGGGTTGAGCTCAAATTTTAAACAATATACATCCCGCTTCAAAGATTGTTTCACACACACGCGTAGCACAGGATACGGCTAGTTTAATATTATTATCTTCAATTACTTCAAAACTAACTAAAAAAAATTTATTATTAATATAAAATTATATTATAATTATATATTAATATTATATATAATTATATAATAAAATACCTATACCAACCCGTCTGGCCAGCGTGGTGTAGTAGGCCAAAACCTCTATTGTATTACTACTTATATTGAAGCCAATATAAATATATCCTAGGCTATTGTAGCGCCACTCTTATTGGACGCATTTTAACAAACACTTTTCATATATAGAGATGGTTATAACAGATTTAATTTTTATTTAATAATGTTTGAGATAAAGTACTTAATAGTTCAAAAATAATGATGTATTTTTGAAGCAATAATTTTTTAAACTTTTTAAAATATTTATAAACTTTTTGTGAAACATTCATTAGTTTCCTACTGCGCTGACTGTTGTGGGTTCGATCCCATATGGTACAATGGGATTCACAAATTATTATTGTTCAGATTACGGGTGTTCTTTGTGTCCGTTTTGACACAGGATATATTCCTAGTGCAGGTCTTAAAAAAAAAGGGTTTTAATATCGTGTAATTATATATAACTAAACAATAACCTTGTTACAGGAGCCTAGTGCAAATGAAACATCTCGGCACTTGCACGGAGCCAATTGCAGAGGAGCCTAAAAACTACCTGTATCGATAAAACAATCGAACCACAACCATGTATCGATGTATCGCTTTCTTTCAATAATCATACTTTGGGAAATGGGATCCCACTATTAGTGCCAACTTTTTATAAGTTAATAAATACTGTAAAATAATATAAGCGACCAATTTTCGTGTCTTCCAATAATCAATAATCTTAGTAATTCTTAATTCATAGTTTGAAAAGGGATTTGTTAACGATTTTAAAAGACTAAAATGCTATGCAATTCTTCTATAGAAGGCTAAACATTGTTTTATTAGAAACAAAAAGAAATAGAAGATCAGTACAAAAATTTTGAACTCGTGACAAATCCTCCAGAACAATTATACTAAAACATTTTTTCTAGATAAATATTAGTGATTTTAGGATAATTATTATAGACTGTTTATTTATTATATTTATTAACAGTGGTAGCGTAAGAATATCTTTTTTTTGTAAATAATTATTGTTTTTTTTTTAAATTAGAATTGATGCATTTAGAATGAAGACTTATTATTTAAACACATAATTATGACGATAAGATTTTTCATTTAAAGCGTAACTTCAACCGCCAACTTTAAACAAAATTAGCTCAGCAGTAATTTATTTTCGTTTGACATTTGAATAAATTTCATTGAATTTAACAGTGAATTAAATCAAAACGTTAGTTGTTTTTTTGCTTTTAAATGTTAGACGAAAATTATATATTTAAAAAATAATGAATTATAATTAAATAATAATCATAATTAATTAATTAAAATTGATTAATGCTTGTTATGTTTTTCAAGAATGTAATTTTTATTTTTTATTTTATCAACATAACTAAAATAAAATGTATCTTAATGTTAACTAACAAATAAACACAATTTATACAATTCATAACATTTTATAATCTAACTATATTCCACGATGTATTTCTGTATTGTCAAGTTAATAGCAAACCAATAAAACGAATTTACAACTTTATGTTTTTAATTAAGTACATGTGCTCAAGTCGTATTGTTTAATATTTCAATTGATTTCATTTCACTTGAGATTCATGTTTTTTAGTGGTATTTATGCATTAATTGAGCTTCCATCTTGCCTTTACGAACCTACAAAAGAAATAATGTTTAAGAAAACTGAAAGGAACTGAAACACATTTTTTAATAAATTTCTTAAAATATAAACGCTCAAAAGATTAACGTCTAAGAATTTAATTTCACTAATAACAGCTCATTTTACAAATGATTCAGTAAGGTAATTAATAGTAAGTCACATAAATTTCACTTTGTAAAAGGTCCGTGCGGGGACGAATTAAGAATACAGAGTGTCACCCCCCCCCCCCCCCCCCCCTATTCATACTGTGGGAGTCGTAAGAGCCGACTAAGGGAGCAAACTATGCAGTACAACAGCACTGCAAACACAAGGAAAACTTGTAACAAACCCTATAGCAACCCGTCTGGCCAGCGTGGTATAGTAGGCCAATAACTCCTTTCTAAGGAGAGGCCTATGTCCAGCAGTGGACTATTGAAGGCTGTTGATGATGATGATGATGATGAATTAATTATTCAACGTTTATTTACTAAAATGAAACGTTCAGAACTTGTCAATTAAATAAAATCAATAAAGATTTAATTTATCATCGAAATTACTAAATTAATTAAAGAATAGGCGGAGACTTCTTTTTTATAAATGACTGCACGGATAGCACAGCGGTTCCCTCGCCGCTTTCTGCTGTGCTAAGTGTTGTGGTTTCTATCTTCACATGGATCAACACAAATAGTTGCTCAGAGACTGGGTGTTCTTTGACGCGTCAAGATACGACATGAGTTTATTCCTAAAACTTTCTATCAACACAAACCACCAGCCACCACCACCATGTTTGAAAAGTCCCGCGCAACACAGCGTACTTTACCAGTGCATGAGTTGTCTTTATAAAACAAACTCAACTTTTCGGATGTAAGTAAATAATTAGAAGTGGTACTAATAACAACAAAAATCGATCGTAATTTTCTAAATAAAAAGTAAGTTTAGTTAATACCTTTTAAGTTTTTCCCAACTTGTCCAAATAAAAGTACGTGGCAACTTCTATGGGGTAAATACATGGTTTAAAAGCCAACAACGACAGTTCATCAACTAAAAGCTTGAATTTCCTTATGAATTCCTTGTACGTGGCCATATTTAGTGCTTTGTTGTAAAGCAGTATAGCGACTGAAATAAAATTAATGAAAAATCGGACGGCCTGTTTGGTCAAGTAGCTACCTAGAGGGTGTGGTTTCGATTCTTACCCAGGACAAATAATTTTGCGGCTCAACCGGGGTGATAACCAATGTTCAGCCATTATTTCGTTGTGTTTCACCGATGTGTGTAGCTATCTATTTCAAAACCCCTCCTTCCCTTGAATCTGGGGGTAGGAATCAATAGGTGGCAACGTACTTATGACTCTCGAGACTCCATAGACAGCGATAATCACTTACCATCAGGACACAGATGTCTGTTCATTTTCTCAGCTTTACCATAAAAAAAACTACGTCTTTACTTAAAGTAGTATAGAGTAGCCTAACATAGTGTGTGTAGTGTGATGTTTCATCCGAATAGAAAAAAATTAAGTTGGTTTGTGTACGATTCATAAACTCAAACAGATCGGCATGGATTGAGCTCAAATTGTGTCATTAAAATATACAACCTGCTTCAAATACTGTTTTTATCTATTTTTCATCTCAGTTTTGTCCATTATTTCTCATCAGTACAACTACAATGCGGAGCATGGCAGGATATAGCTAGCTAATTAACCGTTAGAATTGTTAGTAAAATTATTATGCCAATTACTTTTTTTAACTTTGAGTATAATACAGAAAAAATTAACCTAAGTAAAAATCTATATAAAAATAATACTCAATAAAACTTACAAGCTTCTACAATAAAAAGCAAAATCCACATCACAGGCATAAAACATATTGCCGAATGTTGCTGATAGGCAAAATTTGAGCTGAAAATTTAAACAATACGTATGATCCAAAAAATTAAGAAGCTGTTTTTAAACTGAACTGAAACGAAAGATGAAATAATAAAAAAAAAACATTTTTAAGAAATAGTAAGGCAATTTATCAAACAATAAACATCTCTTAAACTATTTATCAGATCTGCCTTGATACCTATCTCTTCTAGAAATTATTGCGTGATATATATATATATATATATATATATATGCATATAAATACTTATGTATTGTGTGTATTAGTATCATTATTGCGGGTTGGTATAGGGTTTGTGTCAAGTTTTCCTTCTCTTTACAGTGCTGCAGATTTTGCTCCTTTAGTAGGCTCTTGCGACACCCACGGGATGAATATTGATGGTGACACTCTGTTTTCTTAATCCTTCACACATTGCGCTAGCCTCAAATAAAATTGGAAAAAGGCCAGAAAAATGAAATGAATGAATATGATCACTCGTATAGCCGCCCTACATTTCTATTGCTTTTACAAGTACGACAAAGTTTGTAAGAATCCCAAAAAGTGTAAAAGTAAAAAGTGCATACGTATGTCCTTAACATTTGTGGCATATTAAACTTACCTGGTTTGGTTTTTAATACCACTAGAGAAATAGTTCATTTGAAACATAGCTTTCATTTCATGAGATATTCATATTATTTATTTTTTATGTTTTAAAATGATAACAGTTTACCTATGACAGTTTATTAAAATGTACGTAAATAATTTAGTCCACAGACAAAATACTGAAAATTAATTGTACAGTTTACATAAAAACAAATTACGAATACACCAAAAAGTTTATAATAAACAATAAGCTGTTTCTGGCATAGAATATAAGCACAGAGAGAACAGGAGCCCCAATCTTGGAATATAGGCAGCAAGAGAAATGGATAATAGAGAGATGCCTCTATCTCTTTCTAGTCAAGCTCTGAGGTTAGCTGGGGAATATGACGCGTTAATAAGTAGCCAATCTTAGCTTAGCTAAACAGAGATGGGATAAAACTATCGGGCATCCATCTATCTCGTTGCCTGTAACGCTTCCACTTACAGGTAGACGAGCAGACGGGTCACCTGATGGAAAGTGACCATGAACGTCTGCAACTCAGGAGTTACAAACGTATTGCCGGCGATTTAGGAAAGAGTACGTTTTTTTCTTGAATCTTGAAGGTCGTATCAATCCGGAAATATCGCAGACGATAACACCACAGATTGGCTGTGCGGGGAAAAAAGTGTCTCGAAAATCGCACAGTAGTGCAGCGCCAACTATCCAGATGATGAGGATGAAAGTTTTGCCGTGTATCCAAACGATTCCTCGGAGCACTTTCCATGATATAAGCGATAGAGAAAGCAGAGTGAACCCACATCCCTATGTAACGCCAAGTTATCGAGCCCATCGGAGATATTTGGGCTAATCATTTTATAGGTACAACAAACCGCTAGAATAAGAAATAAAGATATGTACTTACTGTTATACACGTACTGTTAAATATCTGGCAGGTGATGCTTTGATTGAAACTGATTGAATTAAACAAACTAACTGTTTAAACTGTTTTCCATATAATTTGTAACGGCTAAAGAACTCAGATTAGAACATTTTACAATTATTTACACTCATGTTACTGCTTCCAATCTTTTCTCTTTCTTCGTCTTCAAGTCTTCATAAATCTCGTTTAGATTTCTGCCTTTAGTTTCAGGTATTGAAATAATTGTATAAACAGCAGTAAGTAGACAAACTGCACCGAAAAAGTAAAAAGCGACGTAAGGCCCAATACTATTCATGACTTTCTTAAAAAATAACATTTGCAAGAAGTCGACGGTAGAAGCCACCGCCATTGTCACCCCCATGATAGTACCGCGGTACTGAAATAATAAAATAGATCAAAAAATACTTTGAAAGTGTATAATTTAATAGTAGTGTGTGGTGACGGTGGGTGTCGTAAAAGCCGACTAAGGGAGAGAACTACGCAGGACAACATCACTGCAAAGAGAAGGAAAACTTAAAACAAACCCTATGCCAACCCGTTTGGCCAGCGTGGTGTAGTAGGCCAAAACCTCCATTGTAAGGACAGGCCTATGTCCAGCAGTGGACTGTTAAGGGCTGTTGATGATGATGAGTATTAATAATACTTACAGATATTCAATTAAGTAGTATGTAAAAGAAAGAAAAACTTTAAATATAAAAGTGTTTTTTCAAGTAATGCTGTGGATCAGTCAGATATAAGTTGTTGAATCCATTGTATGAATTTTGGTTTTGATTGGGTTTAGTAATAATAAATTAATCTGACACACTGCCGCCTGTACCCAAGCTAAGAAGAATCTGTACAATGAAATTTAAACTGGTGATAAACTTACTAATATATTTTCAATTCTAAATACAAATATTTTTTAGATATACTATCTTTGGCCAGTGACTTCGGCCGTGTGGTGGTCGATCTCAGACATTGTAGAGGACACCCTACTACTAAAAATCACGAAATGTCATATAAATCTCCAACCCCAATTTTGCACCCTTAGGGGTGCAATTTTTAAAAATTCTTTATCAGTGCACACCTACGTCACTTAAGGAATATTGGTGCAAAATTTCATGCTTCTAGACCCAGCGGTTACAGCTGTGCGTTAATCGATCAGTCAGTGTATCAGTGTGACAGTTTCTTCTTATATAGAAATACATAGTAATCTATGTATATCTACAGTCTACTTTTACTTTACTTTACTACCTGTCTGGGTATAATTTATCTTTAAAATGTCTGAGAAATATCATTAAATTTGTAAGTGTCTACTTAGAAATGATCTTTCATGGCTGAGATTGAACTCACGATATATATGGCTTAGCAATCAGTAACAGCTAGGCAATCAATCAAAGACAAACTACTCGTAATAATGACAAAGACTGGACGAATGGCGTAGTGGTTTAAGCGGTCGTCACGCCGCTCACTGCTACGCTGAGTGTTGTGGGTCCGATCCTCACATGGGACCACACTTTGTGCGATCCACAGATTGTTTTTATGAGTCTAGTTGGTCTTTGTGTCCGTTTCATGTATGTTTGTAAAGTCCCCCGCGACAGGATATATTCCTAATGCGGGAGTAGTCTCTACAAAAAAAAAAACTATTAATAATAAAATACTCACCTTAAAGGAAAACAACTCTGCGTTTAGTACCACGGATATGGGTTGCAAACCAAAGGCATCACAGAATATGCAGATACACAAAGAAACAATGGGTAGCCAAGATGGTGCGTATACACCATACGCCCGTACCAAAAACCAAGACGCAAGCGCACACATACTCAAACCTGATATTAGGGATGTTATAATCAATAGAACCTGTAAACGTTATTGATATTATATTTTAAATTAACAAAATATTTTTTTGTACAAATTAATAAAAATAGGTTCAAAATAATAATATAATAATAATAGGTTTTTTTCATGCTCACACAATTATTTGCTCGATACCTACTCGTATGCCTAAAAACCAATTTAAATATTGTTTGCCTAGCTAACTGCCTGTAGTTCTAACAGGAAAACGGCTGGACCGATTTTTATATTTTATTACCAGGTTGCTGTCTATATAAGGAGTAACTTAGGCTATTTTTTCTCTCAGAAAAGACCTATAAAATTTTGTTCTGTACGGAAATTGAACTCGAGGCCTCATGGACTGCAGTCGCGTACTACACCAGTAAGACAGCGTACCAGCTTAAATAAAAACATAATGATATTGCAAATACTTTCATTTCTTTATTTCTCATGTATATTTATTAACTAGCTGGTGCCCGCGGCTTTGTTCACGTGGCATTTGAAAAGCGCTGCCTTAGTTGGTTTGATTCCCGGACCGGCAAAAATTTGCCGGGCCAGTCGTTTTGAAGTTTACCGGGAACAAACAGACAGACAGACAAAAAATTTGGTTCTTAGGTATAGGTATCCTGCAAATAACCGTGTAAGCATGAAAAAAGCCTATGGTTTTTAAATTACAAACAGACACTTCAATTTTTTTAGAAAAGTTATTGGATACATATATTTAAAATATCCCACATATACACAAGAAATATTTTTTTTTGTCCACTTACCTTTCTTCCAAGTTTCTCCACTAATCCAAATGTCATTACAGATCCAATAACTTGCACCGCTCCTAGCATCATAGCCTGTTGATTAGGTGACAGTACAAGGCCAGTGTTTTCTGACGCTAAAGCGAAAATCTCTGCTGCAAAGTTGAGTACAGGGATGGCACCGCAAACTTCGCGAGCTAAAGTTATTATTAGAGCTATTCTGAAAGCTCTAAACAGAATCTTATCGGTCACTGGAATAGAACAATAAAATTAATTGTAACCAAATTGGTTATCATCATCATCAACAATCCACTGCTGGACATAGACCTCTCCTTACAATGCAGGTTTTGGCCTAGTATACCACGCTGGCCAGACGGGTTGGTTTAGGGTTTGTTTTGTTAAAATTTTGAGACGGAGCCCGCACCAGGAGCGGGCCGGCGCTGGGAGGGGTCCTGAAGGCGATAACTACCTGGACCCCCCCTAAAACAAAAGCGCAAAGAGGGCACACCGTGTAGTTTTAGTCGGTTCGAGTTTGACACACCGCCCCGCCGAACGAGAGCCCCGGCGGTTAAAAAAAAAAGGGTTTGTTTTATTTCAAATTGGTCAACAATATGATTTTTTTTTTAATTTTTTTTTTCTATTATTCATATTTAGATATATTTAAGCTCGTATTACTTTTTCTCTCTGGTTTTACTTTATGTTTCAACTAGCTGGTACCCGCGACTTCGTTCGCGTGAAATTTGAATAGTGCTGCCTTATTTGTCGCTGTGTTTCTGAGAGCCAAAATAGCCTAAGCTACTTCATATTCAGACAGCTGGTAGTGAAATATTACTAAAATCGGAGAAGCTGTTTTGAAGATTACTCGGAACAAACAGACAGACAGACCGACCGACAGACGGACAGACAAAAAATATTTAAGCTGGTTTTTAGGCATAGGTATCCTGCAAATAATCGTGTGAGCATGAAAAACCTATTATGTTGACATCACAAACAGACAATTTTATTTATTTGAATAGCCTAGCCTTCCTCTTTGCCTCTTTGAAAACCGAAAAAGCATCTTTTTTAAATCTTCATATCAAATTGACACAATGTGTTGATTTTTTAAAACAAAACTCATTTTATATACTCCTGTATAGTATATCACAATTGTCAAGTGCATAAATATGATGGTACGGAAGTCAAATACTACTGCAATCCATACAAATTTTATTAATTGAGAAAGTGTGTCTGTCTGTTACCTCTTCACGCTTAAACGGCAGAAACCGATTTACATGAAATTTGGTATAGAGATAGTCCGAGTCTCGGGAAAGGATATAGTTAGGATAGTTTTTATCCCAGAAATCATCCTATAAGGGGATGAAAAACTGTATGGGGAATCAATAACCGTTGAATCGATTTAGCTGGAACTTGGTATGGAGGTACTTTGATTATCGAGGAAAGACATAAGCTATTTTTTACCGCGATAACCGACATTTACGCAAGCGGAGCCTCGGGCAAAAGCTAGACCTGTATAATTTCGGGTATGATAAAAAATACATAAATTTTATTTATCAACTAGATAGTGTATATTTCTGCAGAACAATAATAACATAAAATTGACTAAAGTCTCATAAAACGAAACAGTAACAACGAGTTAAATACAATAATTATCATCTAGTTTTATAGCTAGCCTTAGCTTACGTCAATAGAAGGAATATTTACTTAAGATAATTAGAGAAAAAAAGAGCAAAATACAATCAAGATTAAGCAGATTAAGTAAGTAATAAATACAATTGAACTCAAACACTAGAAATGTAACCTAACAAAAAAAATCGACACATAATTATTATGATTTTGTTATTGCCTGAAAGATTCATTGATACACGTTCAACCGACATTGTAAAATTCCAATATGTTCAAACGAATACTTAAATGAATTTAGCCTTCAACGAAAATTAGAACAATCCAAATTTAAAGTAATGTTGTTCGACAAACCTAAATGCCTGTGATGACTTATTTCTCATAATGTTAATACATTATGTGGCCATAATCTGAGTATTGTAATTAAAACGTAATTCTATTAATAAAGAAACATACTTACAAATGGCTTTCATAACAAATTTGCTGCTTCCATCATCTCTTGATTGCTCTCTTTTAAGTTCCTCAATTTCATTTAGTACCATTATATCGTCCTCTCTGCGGCACCTGAGCCATGCTAATGCCTTTGTAGCTTTCTGAAACAAAAGTTTTTCTTTCTGTTTAGTAATATTATCATTTGTAGGTAAATTTAATTTGGCGTCGTCACTCTGCTGTGGCTAAAGTTAAAGTAAGGTTGTTGGGATAAAACCGACTGTTTTAATCTAATCTCGCTTCACAAAGCAAGAAAACCCGTGCTAACTTTAGCAGCAATATTTTCTCTCAGATCAATCAGCCAGCGGACGCGGAATAGGCTAACGCTAAAAAAATCTTAGTCATTAGTCCACATGAAATGAAATGATATTTATTTGTGTAAGTAAATCTTTTCAGTTATTTCTACAAGTCGGACTTTACAGCTAGATAGAGCTGGCATTTCCTAAGACTCACCCTGGGAAGAAACGCCGAAACAAACCACAGAGGTGGTAGGTACACTATGATCAAGGCATGTTAAATAAGTATGAGCTTGTGGGTGGAAAACACCTAAATCAGTAAAGTACTAGTATTTTTTCTCAACCAGTTCTTAATATACGCTCACGGAACCCAAAGTGCCGCGGGAGAGCCACGTTTCGACACAAATAAAGTTTTTTTCATTAGTGAGGTTATCTTAGCTCCAAACCCCCTCCCCTCCTAATTCTTGGGGGTGCTCAAAGTACGCCAACATACTTGTGACTTTTGAGTTGTCTATGGAAGGTAGTACCTTACCATCTGGCGATCGATTTTCTCTGCTGCGATTCTCTGTCTCAGACAAATTAAAAGCCTATAACAAATTAAGAAGTTCAACTATGCTAACACTACTGCTTCCTTTATTCTAATAATTTTACACATATCACATCAACAGTCTTTTATAGTGCACTGCTGGACAAAGGCCTCTCCTTAAAAATGAGGTTTTGGCTCTACTATCCTACTTTAGCCAGTCGTGCTGAAATGTGGTTTGTTTCAGGTTTTCCTTCTATTAATTTTTGAATGATTTTACATTAATATTTATTGATTTACCTCAATATAGCCTTTCTTCAACAAATAGGACGGCGACTCAGGCATCATCATGAATAGCACCAGGTGAATTAAAGGTAACGAAATGCAAATCCATAGTATGGTATTATAGTTAAAATAATCACCTATTATATATAAAAACAAATTGCCCGTAGTGTGAAACAGGATTACCTGAAAAAAAATGGTTACAAAATTTAGTGAACCTACATTGAAGTAGTTATTTATTTATAGGATAATAATAATAAGTAGCCAGGATCGTGCACCAACAGCTTGCCCTTAAATACCAACTCGTAAATCTAGAAGTTCCATACTCCAGGTATGTGCCCAACCCAGTTCTCGAGAATGGTCGGGCCACGGGATATAAGACTATTGTTGCCAATAAGCCTGATATTGTAGTGATAGATCGATTAGAGCGCCGCGCATTGATAGTTGATATCGCCGTTCCCCATGACAGGAATCTCGTAAAAGTTGAAAAAGAAAAATAAATAAAATATTTGGATTTATCTCACGAGATTGTCGATATGTGGAGTTTCGATTCAGTGATAATTGTTCCGATAGTCGTATCTGCTCACGGATTGATAGCCAAGAGCCTCGACCAACACCTTAAGAGGCTCACGTTAGACGACTTGACACGGCTCGTATATCGTGATTCATTTTGTTAATATGACTGGTTGGAGTTGTGAATGTTATATGTATATTTGAAATGTTTTTAACTTTTTTTAGATGGTTTAATGTGAATTGTTTTTAGAGATTACATGTTACTTTTCTTTTCTCACTATTATGAAGTATTATATTCAGAGACAATTGTAATAAATTGTTAATGAATTAAATAAATAAATAAATATAGTGAGGAGGTTTCTGACTTTGGAGTCCTAACCACCGTGTCTTGGTCCCTGTACCCGATGTCAGTGGTAGGTATACTATTTTTTATATTTTTAAATGTATTTTTTTCTTTTATTAAAATTGTAATAAATATGTATAAATAAAATGTAATAAAGAGAATAATAATAATATTTCACACATCTCACACGCGGCCGTCTGATCCCAAACTAGACAGAGCCTGTGCTATGGTAACCAGACTGCTGATAAACATACTTATATATTTTTAAATACATATATATCGGAGCAACTACCTCACTTAATAAAAATAATTTTATTGATTTAAATTAGATTGCAATTGATTATATTTTAAGTTTTGATAGTTAGTGTTAGGAAATAACCTGAAGAATCGTATTTTATAAATACAACGAGAAAATACAACCCTAAACCTAACAACATGTAAACACGTGCTCAAACAATGCGTCCTATGAAAAAGAGCTGCATTGCGCATACTCGGTCATTCTCGCTCGAGCCGTCGGGCTGTTCGGATCCATGTACAACTATTGGTGAGACCTTGGAATACATCTAACTGTATTTACTGTTGTCTTTATTTACTACTGTAGGGATACCGGTACTCATTGATGATAAGAAGCATCTTTGAAACGGGTTATATTTCGTGCCAAAATTTGAGCTCAATTAGTAAAGAACTTTTTGCGTTTTTGAAGCGTACACAAACTAACCTGACATTTAAATATCCATACTAATATTATAAATGCGAAAGTGTGTCTGTCTGTAAAAAATTTACTGTATGTGTGTTAGTCACCTCTTCACGCCTAAACCGCTGTAGCAATTTAGATGAAATGGGGTATAGGATAGTTTTTATTCCAGAAATCCTTTAGAGGGCTAAAAAGGGGCGTGGAAATTTGTAAGGAGCATCAAAAATCGCTGAACCGATTTAGGTAAAATGAGCCGCGGGCAAATGCTAGTACATATCTATATAAATAAATAAATAAAAATAAAGTGTCTGTTTGTAATGTCAAAATAATAGGTGTGAGCATGAAAATGCTCACACGGTTATTTGCACGGTACCTATGCCTAAAAAACAGTTTGTTTTTTTGGCTGTCTGTTTGTTCTGGTACCCTTTAAAATTTTGATTGGGTTGTTAGTGGGTTAAAAGTTGCGGATACCAGTAATTTTAAAATTTCAACCTATACGAAATTTACTAATTGTACATTTTTGTTCTTTAGAAACTAATTATAGCAAAGACTGTCTCACTAACCAAACTCCTAAGTAAACTAAATACATACCATGCACCCAAGCATGCCTCGAACTGCATCTTCACTAATCTCTTTGGTGTATAGAGGACAGATGACATAGGCACCTCCCATTAAGACACCGACAAGCGAACGGGCCAGGATAAAAGCCCAAGTATTCATTGATGATAATTTGATTGCCCAACTAGCCTGAAACGAGACACTATTACTAAATTTATTTATTTTTTCGTTGGAAAACGAGCAGACGGGAGCTAATGATAAGTGAATACCGCCGCCCATGCACGCCGGCTTCTCAAGTGTGTTGATATTCATGGGAAATGGCCCACCATATAAAACGTTTAAGAGTTCACTTTAGTCTTATATACCTGAGTGAATTTTTATTTCACCGTCCAAGAGGTTTTCATTTACCATCAAAGAACTCAAACTACTAATTTACAAGCGTTGCAAATGTTAAACTTTTAATTCAAAAATTTCAATAAAACACTATATATACCGTGAGATATAAATTTGGCTCCCGTAAATTCCTAGAACTTTTAATACACCTTGTAACATTACGTACATGTTACATGTATCATTTGATATCTGAAATCTTAGGGATCTGCATTTGCTTTCAGGTAGTAATGCTTTTAACAAAAATTGTGGCGACTCTCACTTACAAAAAACAGAAACATACTACAACGCCATCTAACGAAGACATATCGAACTACCGGAATAAGTCATGAATGAGAATTGCTAATCCTGTATCGCGATAAAAAGAATTCTCTGGCCGATTACTATATATACAACTTCCTAACATCAACCGTTGCGCCGCGGGCCGCCAGGCATGATCACCTCGCCTGGTCGGAAGATCCTGCCTTTGTGTTGGAGGGACATGACACGCGTTCTTCGACAAATTAAATATCGAAAATTTTGCCATAATGTGGAAAAATAACAAATAGCTGTACTTACGATACCTGTCGCTGATAATATAAATGTTGCATTTTTCCTTCCAATTCTATCTCCAATAAAAGCCATTAATACATCTGCTGGTATACACACAAGGTACGCAGCAGATGCCATCCAAGATACCTGTCAATTTACATTCAGAAATACTATCAAAACTATTTTAGACATAGTAAAATCCTCAACATGTGCTATTAATTTGTTTTGATTTTGATTTAAAATTAATAGTTTTATTAAGTAAATCAACTGATCTAAGGATAAGTTTGAAATTAAAAAGTAGAGGCGAAAGACAGTTTGAAGAATGGTCAGTATTACAGAATTTCTTAAATACAAAAACAAAGACAATAAAATATTACGACTTTTTAATAAAACTTTTCATAGTATAAAGAATAGTAAAATCAGTTTTTTTAGAGTTCGGACCAATTCACACAAATGTTTTCCATAAAAAGAACAAGACAAGCTCTTCAGTACATTTATTATCTTTTTCTTTTTGCTTTTAATCATCCTAACTTACCTCACTGTCCGTCAGCGGTTCACCTCTAGGGGAGTCTTTTGACTGCAGTAACAGTGTCATAGGCGACATCCATCCTATAGCCGTACCATACACAAATACTGGTATGTTTACTGCAAAGAAAATTAATGGCACAACGCATAACGTAACGAACTGTTCTTAATGTAATTGGCAATTTTTTGAGATGAATGAAATAAAACTTACTAAGTATAGCACATATCACTTGGTTAATCCGGCTGCCTTCATTGAAAATAAAATAATATTCCTTCTTCATGTTGCTGCTCCTATTTGCTATATCATTTTGATTTTCACTTTTAAGACGATCTATATTATTTTGAAATTCGAGTTAATTATTTTTATGTATAATTTTAATTGATATTTTAATCAACAAATCATCGTATTATAGTTTGTAGTTTCTTTTAATGGATTTCTTTTAACTTTTTCTTAGCGCGATACTAACTGATGTACAAGAAGCTGCTCATTGCTTTGACCAACTGGTGATCATTGTTTGTAGTGAAGTTGATTGGGTATAATTTGCTTTTTGATTGGTGACAATTATGTGTCATTATAGTACGATCTTTATCATCATAAATAGTCCAACTATGGCTCTTCCTTTGCGGTAATTTCTTATAAAATATTACATAACAGTAAAATTATATTAGTAAAATCGTGTGTTGACGGATTAAGAATACGTCACCACCCCTATTCATCCCGTGGGTGTCGTAAGAGCCGACTAAGGGCGCAAAACAACGCAGAACACCAGCACTGCAAAAAGAAGGAAAACTTGACACAAACCCTATACTAACCCGTCTGGCGAGCGTGGTATAGTAGCCCAAAACCTCCTTTCTAAGGAGTCTGTGTCCAGCAGTGGGCTATTAAAGGCTGTTGATGATGATGATGAAAATCCCATTCGTATTATTTATTTTCAGTAGAAGTTTGGAAGTTATTGAAAGGGGACTTATATCGGTGGTTAATTTTATCCTCAAAAAAAGTTGCTGCACGATGACTTAGTCCCTTAGAAATGGTGTTCAAAGTTCACTTTCCCATCTGAACAAATAAAGGAGATACAGGAATACAATAATTATTGAGGAAGAAATCTCATTTCACATAGTCCATCTGATTATTGCGCGGTAATATAAGCGGTCGCCACGCCGCTTTCTACTGCGCCGAGTGTTGTGGGTTCAAACCCCACATGGAACGACACTTTGTGTGATCCACAAATTGTTGTTCTGAGTCTGGGTGTTCTTTGTTGTCGTTGTAAAGTCCCCCGTGACACAGGAATGTATTCATAGTGCGGGAGTTGTCTTTAAAAAAAATACATATATTATAATTATTGATTTATATTTATTGACATGTTGACAGTGGTCAATAATTTGTGCCATAAAAACTTGCGCCAACACCTCTAAAGACGGAATTTTCAAAAAATCTTTCTGATCGGATTTCTACATGAAATAAACAATACATCCTGCAATATTTGTCTCTTTGCTCAGATATTAAAACTATTCGTTGATTCATCTATCATTCAGATTGTTCGTCAAGGCAAAGGATATTTTATAACTATAGATGACCCTAAGATATTTAGATAACGTCAACACAAATAATAAAAGTAAACATAAGTTTAAAAAAAAAATGAAGAGGTATGGTAACATCTCAGACAAATTAACTTACAACTTGCTAAGGGAGAGGGTTAGAAAAATGTGAAGTTGCTGTTATTTAGACTACATAAAATTCGTAGAGCAGGCCATAAAAAGGAACCAAAGCATTTTTGGACGTTCGTGGAACCAAAGCATTTTTGGACGTTCGTGAATTTAAAGCGGCGGTAGCCTAGTGGTTAAGGCGTTGGACTTGCAATCAAGAGGTCATGGGTTCAAATCCGGACCAGTACACTACCGACGTGAACCCACTCCTACCACAATCAATTTCGGTTGAAAATACTAGTAGACCTTTTAAAAAATAAAAAATATATGTATTTATATATTTTGTGGATTAGGATCTGTAATTGGCCTGATGTTATTGATTAATATTTTTATGTCATACACTACTATTAAAGATGTTGGTCTTCCATTACTGCGTTACTCAATGATAAAACATTGGTCCTGCTACCGTAAAAGAACTACAGAATAAAACTGCGAAATCGTCGGGTCAACAAGTTGAACTTTGAACTTGACGTGTCGACCGCCTGTTGCAAGTCATCATCCTCAGCGTGCATAAGGAAGGGATTAAGGCCGGTTAAGGACATCCGTGAGTTCGTTCCAATTATTTCCTTTTCCCATCCAATCTTTTCTTGTTATTATTTCTAAATAGTGATTTAAAAAGATATTATTTTTCTACTTCCGTTTTCCATGCAACCCCAGTCTTCGCCTATTATTTGACCAGATAGTTTAATTGCTGGCTATTTTACCTTTGAATAGTCAAAATATTGCATTTGGTGTCATTCCATGCGTATTCAACCATTCGCACTTGCTTAAGTAACCAACCGGTTCTACGGTTCTTTGTGATTGAACAGCTGTGCATTCTATTCAATAGGCTATTAAAGATTTATTATTTATTGCATTCTATTATCGCTTACTCATTTTTGGCTTATCTTTATTTACATTTTTTTTTCAAAATGTCTTTAGAAAAATTGAGTAAAAAACGTAGTAGCATGAAGGCTAAAATAACTAATTTTGATAACTATTTAACTGTAACTTTATCGTCTAAAGACCTATCAGACCTACAAATAGATTTAGAAGCTCGTTTGAAGACTTTTGACGCCTTATACGAGACATTCGACGCTTTACAGATGGAGATCGAGTCGACCTCGGAGATGCCCGACGACGAGTATTCAGAACGGGCTCAGTTCGAGGACCGTTATTACTGTCTGCTTGCGCGTGCGCGCAAAGCATTGGCAGCGAGCGCTGCTGTGCATGCTGCTTCGGAGGCGGGGTCTGATGCGGGCTCTAAATCAGGTGCATCGTTTAAAAATAATTTTGTGCGCTTACCGAAAATTGATTTGCCACACTTTAATGATAGTTTTGAGTATTGGCTAGAATTTAGAGACACATTTTGCTCACTAATTCATAGCAGTGATTGTATCGACGACATCAACAATCATCGTTACGTCGGCTTATTGATTCTGTTAATAAAAACGTACGTGCACTTAAAACATTAAAAGAACCTACAGAGCACTGGGATACTCTTATAATATTTATGATATCTAGAAAGCTTGGTTCCACTACTAGCAGGCAGTGGGAGGAGTATCGCGGTACTCTGTCTGGTTCGCCTACTCTAACACAGTTTTCTACCTTCATATCTAACAAATCTAATCTATTAGAAAATTTAGAAAATAATCAGACTAAATTAAACACGCAACGTAATAATAATAAACAATAGAGCTTTATTTTAACTAATAGTGATGCACATTTAAACAATATTTACAAAATAGAAACTTATAAACTAACAATGTACAAAGTAACGGTAACTTGTTAACAAAAATGAATAAATGTCCTTTATGTTCTAATGATCATTTGCTCTATACTTGCGAGTCATTTAGAGCATTATCTGTTGAATCACGGTTGCAAAAAGCGTTATAGCTTAACTGTTTAGTACACGCAATACACAATATTTTACTGTCCACAGCTATTGTGAAGGTGGTGGGCTGCAACGGTGAAAAGCTCAAAGCTCGAGTACTGCTCGACAACGGCAGCACGGCGAACTTCATAACGGAGAGCCTGTGCACCAAACTTGGTTTGTCACGACGTAATGCAACCTCCACTGTGACAGGTATAAATCGTCAGTCTTCTTATAGTACACAGTCTTGCCATCTCAATATTGAGTCTTATGACGGTGACTATAGGGTTTATTTGGACTGTCTTATTCTGCCTGTAATTACAAAGGTTTTGCCCACTTCCTATATCCAGACAGACAATATTCCTATTCCGTCAGGCCTTTGATTTTCTGACCCTACCTTTAATGTTCCCTCTGTAGTTGATATTTTACTTGGGGCTGAAACATTTTGGAGCGTATAGGCTCCTCTACGATTGACTTAGGCAAACAAATGCCAAAGTTATGTGAAACTAAATTCGGATGGATCGTATCCGGTCCAGTTTTCTAAGGAAATTTATCCTCTTCTCAACGCTCACATCTTTGTAATCTTGCCAATCCCATTGACAAACCTGATCTGTCTAAATTCTGGGAACTCGATGCTGTTTCTCCAATGCACTCATTATCTCAGGAGGAAAGGGCGTGCGAGTTGAGCCTTACTCAGAACACTATCAGAAACAAGGATGGTAGATTTATTGTTACAATGCCCTTGAAGACCACTCCAACAGTTTTAGGAGACTCGTACACCATGGCGAAACATCGCTTCTTTTCATTACAGCGACGTTTTCAACGTAATCCTGACTACAACGCTAAGTATGTTGACTTCATGGCAGAATACGAACGCCTAGGTCACATGACTGAAAATGTTAACAAACCAGCACCACATTTAGGTCATGACGTTGAATACTTCATACCACACCATGGTATACTAAGAGAGACAAGCCCCACTACTAAACTGAGGAGTGTATTTGATGCATCAGCTCCATCAACTTCAGGATTTTCCCTCAATGACCTTCAAGTGGTAGGTCCTAAGGTACAGTACAGATGAACTTTTATCGATTTTGTTCCTTGATTCCGGCAGCATAAATACGTGGTCTCCGTGGATGTGGAAAAGTTATATCGCTGCATCGAAGTAACTACCTCACAAAGGCCCCTCTCACAAATTATTTTTCGTAGTGACCCTGAAAAACCTCTTAAGACTTATAGCCTCAACACAGCCATGTATGGAGCTGCGTCAGCTCCGTACCTAGCCACCAAATGTTTAGTGAGCTTAGCGAACGCGGCGTCCACTGCCAAAGTTAGGTCAGCAATAGCAAGAGACTTTTATGTTGATGATTATTTGGGGGGGGGGGGGGGGGGGTCTTCTGTACTTGAGACTGTGGCACTTGTCAAAGAGGTAATACATATTTTAGCCTCAGCTCATTTCTTTTTGAGAAAGTGGCAATCCAACTGCCCTGACATTCTGAAAGCCAATTTAGGTAATTCATATACTCAGGATAATCCCACTACATTAAATCTTTCAGAACCCAACACGTCTGCGAAAACCCTAGGTCTAAACTGGTTGAGTAGCTCAGATTACTTATCGTTTTCTATAAATATTGACCATGTAGAAAAGGTCACAAAACGACACATCTTGTCAGTAATTAGCCAAGTATTTCACCCTCTAGGCTTAGTCGGCCCTTGCATTGTTGA